CTCATAAGCATGCTCTTGGTACGACAATCTGCTGGATACTGATACTGTAGATTCGTTATAGTAGGGTTGATCTTCGTTCAACTGGCTTATGTCCATACAACAAGTGTCTGCTCGCATCCAGTCTCCCAGATCTTGGCACAGCTCGGTAAAGGTTGGCCGAGCATCAGGATTGTAGTCCCAGCAACGCGTCATCAATTGATAGCTGTGTTAGAGAACAAATGTGAAATAGCTCCTTATAAACATTCTGTTTAGTCTACGATACATTTTGCAGCACATTAGACGACAACTTCCTCCCATATTGAGAGAGTTCGGAAACTGGTTAGCATGATAGGAGTATATAAATTACATTTGAAAAGTGGAAATGTGTGTATCATAACAAAATCATCTTGACCTAGCTTCGCTTCTGCTCCTGATCACGAAGTATGGGACTGTTATATGTGCCATTAGCCTCTTTTTTTGTGGACCTTTCTGCTTTTTACAAGTATAATCATGAATGCAACCACTCACAACTCCTCTGAGCATGTCTCTGGTTTTTCCATTCTATGTCCTCTTTCCAGCAGTTTCAGAAGGTCGCTGTTTCTGATGCGGGGGTAAGGAAAACCACCTGAAAAATAGTTTCTTACCTTAAACTAAATTTTTGCAACATTAATTTCTTTGAAAAGCAAGTCATTGTTGTCTAATAGTCAAATTAAACTGAGTTATACACATAAATCATTTTCAAAACCATAAAGAATGAGGTTATTGCCTAACCAAACTGCAATAAGGGGTTACATACTCTTCGTTTAACTCGCCCAATTTTGCAAACTACTGGGAGGTATCGGATCTGTCAGGGATATATTTGCAAAGCGCACTAGAAAAATAAAGATTAAAAAACCCTCACCAAGAGTTGCAATCTCCCAGAGAACGACTCCATATGACCACCTTGAAGCAAAATGTTTATAAAGAGTTTCCTCAGCTACAAAATTTCTTTAAATTAACCTTGGCAATATTTAACCCAAAACCTTTCTTATTCTTTTTATACCGGCCATGCTGGTTTTATGTTAATGATAGAGCACTTTATTTCCTGCTAGTATTGCTAATAATATACTACTTATCGCAGAGGAAAACATATCCATGTGCAGGTTTCGTCCCCAGGGGGGGGGGGGGGGCCCAAATAAAAAGGACATGTGTGCTCGTCGTAACTTTTAGGGGTAAACAAAAGCGGTTTTCGTATAGCTAGTACCTCTTAGGGTGGTCAGCCTAAAAAAGGTCCACAGCGGGAGCTTTTGTGAGACCTTTTAGGGTGATTGAGCCGAAAAAATATATGATAGGAGATAATGTGTAAATTGGTACTTCTTAGCGGTCAAAAAAACAACTCAAAAAACAGGCTCTTGGTATCTCTTAGGGGTTCTTTTTAAAATTTCCGACGAGCAGCCTCGTCCCTTTTACATGGGAGTCCCCCCGGGGTTTCCTCTACTGTCTTGCTGAACTCGAAACGGCTAGACTCCTCTGTCCTCAAGGAAGAACCGATCGTGCTTATATAAAAGCAAAAACTAAATACAAAAAAATCAATAAAATGTCCTAGCTTCACTGCTGGAAAAGTCAGGAAATTATACCTCGCTGATTCTCATCACCCTATCCTTGCTATATAACCTGATGTGAGTACTTGAGGACCACAGATTTTTAACCATCTGAAGTCATGTATTCAGTTTTTTGTCACTCCTTTCCCTATTTTTTGCTAACGAAACGTAAACGGATGTTAGCGAGAATATTTTGCCACCCTCCTACCCTTCGGCGAGGTGTTACCCTTCTTTGCTAATGTATTTACAATTTCATCACGTGGGCAAAATTTACTCACCCCATAACTTATCCATAGCTCGGCGAGGAGTGACCAATGTGACAGTAAAGAAGAATTACTATCCATGTGTCAAAAGGCGGAGTAACACTATCTACATAAACGGTTAATTCACTTACACATCACTCTTTTCAGTAAAAACACCATCATTCATGGCTTCAGGTGACGTCCATTTCACTACAATTTGGTTTTCCCTGTTTCGCCGCAAACCAAAATCGGCGACTTTGGCAAGGTTGGTGTCACAGACTAAGACATTGCGAGCGGCGAGACCTCGATGGACAATGCCCTTTGCTGATAAGTATTGCTAGACACAAGAAATATCGTTAATTAATCACTGCTGCTTAATACTCTGAATAATATAAAGGTTCCAAAATCATTAGACAACCGTAGGAGAAGGCGATTAAGACTTGCATGTTGCCAACAGAGACCGCGCACTTATAATCTTCAAAGAAGACTGGGAGAAAAGAAAAAGTGGAAACAGCACGGAGATTTACCGTGCTCGGTTCTAAATGGGGAAAGACGACTCTCTTGCCGTCATCTTTGAAAATGCGAGACTTTTGAGCAATAAATACAAGATACCCTGAGTTAACATAAGCAGATGAGGGACTTTCCAAGGTGGACGAAATGAGTATTTTGATAAGAAATGTAACTGGAAATGAGATCAAATGATGTTTTACTCCTTCAAGAAGCCTCCATGACTTCGAAACCGCACAAAGCTCCCGGGGAAACTCCCATATAAAAAGGAGGGGGGTGCTCGTGGAAATTCTCAAACGAAGCCCTAAGAGGTTCCAAGATCCTGTTTTGTGGACGTGGCTCTAAATTTTTTTCACCGCTAAGAGGTACCAATTCTAAAGCAACACATTACCTCCTGTCATATATTTTTCGTCTCAATACCCTGAAAGGTACCTTTTGAGGCTGAACACCCTAAGAGGTACGGTACCAAAACCCCTTTTTTTAACCCTAAAAAGTACGACGGGCACCCCGTCATTTCTATATGGGAGTCTCCCCCCACCCAGGGCAAAGCTTTTCTCAGTCCCTCACCATTCCCTGTGCGATTTGCCAGCAGAAGGACATCACGTCCTGAGAAGTCAAGGAATCGTGTTTATCTTGATCTTGTTCTTCATCCTGCAAGGACTGAGCGCTGCTAATTCTTATGTCAACGCAGCTCTCAGCTTTCGAGAAAGCGACGTTGACTTGGCCAACATCGTTGGTATCAAGCTCACACTGCTGAAGAAATCATTTACGTAATAAGTTAAATATAACAATTTATTTAGCATTGGAAGAATGAAGTAGATAAGTACTCTAGTTTTTAAGCTAAATACTATTGACACTTTAATTAGGTCTTTCTTTCTTTCCTCTACATCAAAAGAAGCCCGGACTCGATCAAATTTCAAGACCGCTTTTGCGAACTAAATGCATGCTTGACCTCTTTACCTTTGTTCTTCGTTCTCTTAGAAAAGAAAGCAAATTTCCTTTTGCTGCAAACTCCACGATGAGGAAATTTGGTGCGGACTTGGTACAACAGCCAATCAAACTCGCGATGTTCTTGTGTGAACCAACAGCTTTCATCAGGGTAATCTCTTCTATAAAGTCGTTCTTCTGATCCGGAGTGGCATTGTCTGAAACGTAAGAGCAGTTTATAATCAAAGTGCTCTATGAGCAAACCTGTGAATTTTCCAGTGAATGATGATTAACATGAGCTAACCTTTGCGTAATATGGAATTAATCTTTTTAAAGACAAAAACAAGCTTTTTTACGCTTAACATTTTATACGGTCAACAGTTAAAATTTTCATAATTTTACGCCTAACGATTAAATTTCGTCCCATTTTATGGCTAACAGTTAACCTCATTGAGACCCTCACTTAAGGTAAAGTCCACTTAGCAATCCGGTTTTAAGATTACCTTGTAGCATCTTCACAACTACAATTCTTGTCGATTTTTTTCTCGTCTCGATGGTTTCCTGGGTCGATGGTCCGTGTGCTATACACAAACGGGTTTTCATGACTCCTATGTACACTTTGCCAAAGTCACAGTGACCGAACTCTTCGCATATAGTGACGTCATTGCGCTTCATTTCCCATCCCTCATTCGTCTCTTTTTTGCTGTTAACCTCGTTGAGTGTATATTCCCTGCAACATTAGTTTTCAAGATATAAATGCTAGCTCTGATCTGATTGGATGAAATCTTAAAAACAGACGCAGGTAATCCAAAACCACTCACATGGGAGGCTAATCTGTCAAAATTATCACGTAAGGAGTTTAGGGTTCGAGTGAGTTTTTCAATAACCAGGCACTCGTTTTTTCGGACTGACCTCACAGATTAACAGCCTGAAAGACTGGATTAACGTGTTGCTAACATGGATATACAGTTTTTTTTGTTGTGCTTATCTTTTCAGACCGGAAAGAGTCTCTTCTGTTTAAAATATTCTTGATCTTGTATCTGATTTGAGAAGAATTGTTCCGCGAAAAAGTTTAATGTCTTTAATTGCTCGTACGAAGGTAATTGGTGGTCAAAAGCTTTAATCAAGACTTGATGAATTGAATCAAATACAGCACATTTTTTTCAGTTTAAACATACTGTTACATGTAACATGACAAGCAGACCGGAGAGTTGGGAAAGAAATTTCGTGGTCCAGTAAGATATAAATCCATACTGAGAAATCGATCTTGGCGTGGACAAAAAAACGTAACGCCAGTTTCATTGCTTAGTCACCCATGCACGAGTAAGCCAGGTTTATGAAGAAAGAATACATTTAAAAAAGTAACTGAAAAAAAAAACGATACAAACCTCGTTCTTCTTCGTTTCCTCAGAATACAAAGACGAGCAGCTAGCCCAATAACCACAGCCGTCAAACCACCACAAACAGCCATCAACACCATCTCTAATGTAGACAGCCTGTTCGTTTCCATGCAGCTGGCATCCTGGCGTCCATTACCTGGAACTCTTGAAGGATTTGAAACACTTTGTGTTTTGGTTGCAATCGCGGTAGAAGTTGCTGGTGAAGGCCTGATTATCACTGTCGTCGATGCAATCGAGTTGGTAGAATAAACTACCCTTGGTGAAGATTCCGGGTTTCTTGACCCAGTTGCTAACAAAGAATACACGGTTGTTTCAAGGTGTGCACATGATGTAGCTTGCTTAGTTTGGAAAACAGATTCTAGGTCAAAGAACCATAAACTCACTAACTTCCCAGGGAAACAAGAACTTAAACTTTCGACTCGCACGTGATCAGGTCGTGCTCCTTGAAAAGGCGGAAAATTTGTGTGCCCGTCGGCGTCAAGCATTTTGTTTTGTTGTTGTTTTTTTTCTAGTTTTGAGGTCGAGGGAGGTATATAACAGAACACTTGATGACTGGCCCCGAACGAAACAGTGAGTTTTGTTTCCTCTTGACCTTGTGGGTCTCTGGGAAACAAAACTCACTCTTTCTCTTGGGGCCCGTCATTACGGTGCTTAATAACAACGGTTCAGATCATTTTCACGATTTTCTGTAGTGAACAGGGTATTGAAATCCCCAAACATGGCTCGATCCCCAAAACAGGATATACATAGTACTATGCGTTAAATTTTATACTGATCTTGTCATAAGGTCACATTTATCTATACTTAATTTTACACTTTCCACAGTTTCAAGGGAAAGGAAATACCTGTAGATGGACCGACGGAACGCTCCTTAACAGCCAATCATGGACAAGGACTTTGGACAATTGAGATGTTGAGAAAGAAAATCTCCTTACCCGTAGTTAGGTTTCGTCGGCAGTAGATCCTATTACTTTCACGTTCATATCCGATCCACTTAGCGTCTGGTGCTATAAAGTAAGCACGAGTATTGTTGTCAAGAACAAAGGCTTTTGGCCACGAGATATCGGTGTAATTAGGAAGAAACCAGCCGTCGTCGAAAACGTTTGTACATCTCCAATGTTCGTCGGTTTTAATACCATTACTGGACGACGCCAGAAAGAAAACATCTTTTGCGGAACCGTCTTCAACCTGTACCGCTTGAAGTTTGTGCTGGTCTTTTTTGAGAACCGTCAAGCTGTGTTCTGTTTCTGCTGTAAAAATTCCATCGAGATACAACCTGATAGTGTTGTTTCGATCAGAGCCATAGATGGATATCAAAGCTATTGAAAGAATTGTTTACAGTCACATAGACATAGACATAAACATAGACAGTTTATTTTACTTGGACAACGCACTTAGCTATGGTAACGGCGCGTCCCATAGACTTGATAAGCAGAGTCTATAGGACGCACCAGCTAGTTTCCAGGTGCGCCAAGAAAACAAAATAACAAAGTAAAAATGTATGTACAATTGGTTATAAAGTGATCAATTTTCACGTTGAATAATAACAGCGTTTACATTGTTAATAAAATTGCTTGCACATCTTTGACCACCTGGAAAGGGTACAGAGCATATAGTTTCTAGTTTTCTTTAAAAACACAAAATTATCTAGCACGCCGCAAGGCCAGGAGGCATTTCGCCTGAGACGACTACGAAACTTAAGCCTTTTCCCGCCACTTATTTCATGTTTGCATCACTCAACCATACAAAAAAAGGTATATTCGGTCATGTGTCTCGTGTAGATCAATCAGTTGGGAGCGACTGTGGGACTGACGCAATCCACGCGTCAATAACAGAAATTATAATCCATCAACTATTGATTTAGACGCGTCACGTTTCGCAGTTTTCCGAGAGCGTAAATTGTTTGCCTCTCGGAACAGGAGATAAAGTCTGCGGGCAAATATCTGAGCATATTTTCGCGCTAAAGGAGGGCTGTTGCTTGTTTATTGGCGAGTACATTAAAATCATGGCGCAATATAGTTTCAAGACGCCTCATCGAATATTAAACTAATAACCAAGAGAGTTGTGTGTAAATTACTTCTAGAAAACGTGAGCCGTAAAATCAGTTTGACTTAAATTCTAGTCGCGAGAGCAAAGTCATCCACTGCGACGCTTGCAGCTCAATTCTTACTGAACAATGCTTCTTCAGTTATTAAGAGATCTCAGTCTCGGCGCGTCAGAGGAAATCGTCAACGCATTTCCGCTTGAAGCGCACAAATACTATCAAAATATCAAGTATATGTGATTCTCCGTTGCTTTACTTTCCTTTTCCAGCCGTAGAAACGAAACCAATGTAACAAAAAAGTGAATGAGGCCAAGAGCAGATAGAAAAACTAAGGAAAGAGCTGAGAAAAATTTCGTTTGAAAGTGAACCTTTTTCAGAATTAATGGAAATCGTTGTTAAAAAATTGAGAGCGACGCTAGTGAATTGGACTAGACCTAATTTTATAAAGATAAATCACGCGCTTAATTTGCGAGTAGCACGATGCAGAAACAAACGCAATCGAAAAAGTTCAAAGATTTTCATTGATACTTACTGTTGGTGCTATTTCTTTCCTCCTTACTAAAGCGACGTCTACAGAAAAATCTGATCGCATTATCAATTACCGGATTAATCCAGTAAATACTTGATGGGATTCCATACGCTCTTCTTACGCTGTTATTGTAACTCATGTAGGCGTGCGGCCATGCATCGTCATTGAAATTGGTTTGCTCCCATCCCTTTCCTGGGCTGTTGGTGTTTATGCATTTCCAGCTTCTATCCGTGACCACTCCGTTACTGAACACTCCGAGGAATCCAGTCAAATATTCTGGTTCGTTGTAAACGGAGACGGCAATGATTTTCGTTTCGCTAGAAAAGGAAATCAACCTCGCGACGTCCCAGATGCCATTGTTGTGGCCAACAAGACGGCCGTCTGCGAAAACGGTGAGGTCTTTCATACCGGCTAAAACCCCAACAAAATCTGCATAAAATGATAATAATGACAAAATGAAAAAAGTAACAAACCAAAAACATCTTAAAGGTAAAATATTGAAGGATGCATTTTTCTGATGATTTCCAGCCCAAATCTGAGTGCAAGATCCACAAGATGTTCAAGTTCCGGTGTACATGCATTTCTCAAGCAGTTAAGTCCAAAGCTGTATCTCAGACTGACTTCTAAAAAACTGTCAAAACTCACTCACAACTCAAATCTGACTAGGTGACATGAATTGGTAAGCTACTGAACAGAAATCGAATTGTACAGTGAGAATTACTTCGCCGAGAATCATGGACGAGGAAGCGGTTCTGTATTGAGATGTTAATGTAAGTTTCCCTTATTAATGTAATTTTAACAATATTGGGAACATGGCGTAGTTTTGTCATTCTGTATATTGAAACAGTCACATAATATGTGTTTATCTCATCACCGCTTCGTTAGGTATAACGTCGTTTACCTTTTGTATTTGTTTGGGTTGTGCGTGTACACAGCCACAGGATAAAGGTGAAAACTCGCATCATTCTGGTTTCTGTTCCCGGGTGTGTTGATGTCACTGCCTGAAACTAAGTTGGATCGTATGTGTCTGTCTGTCAGTACATCACTCGTAAATAGCTCATCTAAGATACAAAATACATACAAAATGGCATGCATTGATCAAATATTTCAAACAGGAAGAGAGAAATATCGAATTATCACTGCGTAAGACTAAACTTGTTAAGGAATTTTGAAATATCTCACAAATAATACCATTGAATCGCTTGATATCAGAAGGTTCGTGAAACCTTGATTATGTGTTTCTGTCCGTCAGTATCTCAACCTTTAAATAGCTCTTCTGAAATACTAATGTTCATCAGTACATACAAAATACATGTATTGATCAAATATTTCATTTACAAACAGAAAGAAACAAACATCATTTTACTTCCGCGTGAAACTAAACCCGTTAATGAATTTTGAAATATCTCACAAGTAATAATACTGAATAGCTTGATATCAGAAGACTCGTGAAACTGGGATTATGTGTTTCTGTTCGTCAGCTTATCAACTTGTAAAAAAGTTGTCCTGGAATGCAAATGTAACATAAAGGAGCTCAGTCAGTCACGGCATTTTGAGTTACGACTTACCTTTAAATTTAAGGAATCCTGAAAATCCATAGTTTACTAAGATATAAAAATACCAAAGAGATAATAATAGACCATTAAGGAACAAGGATGGTTAAGGATGGATAATAATACCGATTACAAACCATGACCTTGAACTCACTGTGCGTACTGGTCGAATCTCTCTATAAGTCACAGATGATTCCGGTAGTTGTCTTCAATAGGGGTAACTAGTGATCGCCTGGAAATCAGGCTTCCCCTTAAGGTGATGGGATAAGCGAAATGAAGGTTATATGAGCAACATAAATGATGGCTTATTACTTATAATATTGACAGCTAGGGCACGCCTTATTAGGGAAATTATAGTGTTGTCTTCACAACTGGTCTATCAAATATGTTTACAAAACAACATACATGTACTGATCAAATATTTCAAACAGGAAGAGAGGAATATCGAATTATTACCACGGAAAACAAAACTGAATATACCACTGAATTGCTGATATAGAAGATTCGTGAAATGACAATAACATTCTAAAAAATGGTACCTTTTCTATTTTATTCTTAAACTTATTCGCCTTCTTTCTTAAAATGATGCTGCAAGAAAATTAGCTTAACACATTTATCACCCTCTCCATTAATTCGAGTTCATGTTTTTTGACTAAGTGATGACTATGTAATTATTGACTCAAGCTAAGGTCACGATAACAAGAATTTTCGAGTTAACGCCATGGAACTCTAACCTACAACTCGGCAATACGTTCCTTACCAAGAAATGACCATTCTTAAGCATTCTAGTTGGAAAGGTGAAAAGCCGACGAATGCATTCGTTTGCATGTATGAAGGAAGGCCGCACCAGCTGAAAGGTTAATAATTACAATGATGCTCGAGCACTGCTACATCCAATATAACGTTTCTTCCTTTTCATTGATAAACATGGTTACCAAATCCGTTTTTATTACCTGTCGGTTTTTTTCGCGCCGATATTAACCAACACTATTTTTTGCACAATTCAGCATTTTTGGCACGCGATCTGAAGCAATTCCGCCTTCTCTCACGTTATTCATTCATTATGGCTGCTATTTATAATCAGTAAGGATGACTTGAGGACGTAACTGAGGGTTTTATGGCGCACTTAGTTTAAGAGAAATAATGAAAAAGCATCTACAGTTTACTGAAATGAGCTAAAAGTCACAGCATCTAAAGGATTAGTTGAAAAAATGTTCAAAAAAGAAAAATATATAACGGGTTGTTTAGAAAATTTGTAGCTCCAAGACTACTGAACATATTCTCAAAGATATTTCTTACCGGCGTTAAATGATTAATAAGCGTAGAATTAAGTATTTTGAGGATAATTGATAAAACTTGATATGGCACATCCATGAAATAAGTAACGTGTTTACTGTTGAAAGCAAACGCTACCTGTCACAAACTCTTTGTATTTTGACCATCTGCCACAATCGATTCGTACGTGTTGGTTATAATCAGCCGCGCTAAGTAATCTACAAATTCAATTTCCTGTGAGCCAGTTTAATTTGAAANCCATACAAAAAAAGGTATATTCGGTCATGTGTCTCGTGTAGATCAATCAGTTGGGAGCGACTGTGGGACTGACGCAATCCACGCGTCAATAACAGAAATTATAATCCATCAACTATTGATTTAGACGCGTCACGTTTCGCAGTTTTCCGAGAGCGTAAATTGTTTGCCTCTCGGAACAGGAGATAAAGTCTGCGGGCAAATATCTGAGCATATTTTCGCGCTAAAGGAGGGCTGTTGCTTGTTTATTGGCGAGTACATTAAAATCATGGCGCAATATAGTTTCAAGACGCCTCATCGAATATTAAACTAATAACCAAGAGAGTTGTGTGTAAATTACTTCTAGAAAACGTGAGCCGTAAAATCAGTTTGACTTAAATTCTAGTCGCGAGAGCAAAGTCATCCACTGCGACGCTTGCAGCTCAATTCTTACTGAACAATGCTTCTTCAGTTATTAAGAGATCTCAGTCTCGGCGCGTCAGAGGAAATCGTCAACGCATTTCCGCTTGAAGCGCACAAATACTATCAAAATATCAAGTATATGTGATTCTCCGTTGCTTTACTTTCCTTTTCCAGCCGTAGAAACGAAACCAATGTAACAAAAAAGTGAATGAGGCCAAGAGCAGATAGAAAAACTAAGGAAAGAGCTGAGAAAAATTTCGTTTGAAAGTGAACCTTTTTCAGAATTAATGGAAATCGTTGTTAAAAAATTGAGAGCGACGCTAGTGAATTGGACTAGACCTAATTTTATAAAGATAAATCACGCGCTTAATTTGCGAGTAGCACGATGCAGAAACAAACGCAATCGAAAAAGTTCAAAGATTTTCATTGATACTTACTGTTGGTGCTATTTCTTTCCTCCTTACTAAAGCGACGTCTACAGAAAAATCTGATCGCATTATCAATTACCGGATTAATCCAGTAAATACTTGATGGGATTCCATACGCTCTTCTTACGCTGTTATTGTAACTCATGTAGGCGTGCGGCCATGCATCGTCATTGAAATTGGTTTGCTCCCATCCCTTTCCTGGGCTGTTGGTGTTTATGCATTTCCAGCTTCTATCCGTGACCACTCCGTTACTGAACACTCCGAGGAATCCAGTCAAATATTCTGGTTCGTTGTAAACGGAGACGGCAATGATTTTCGTTTCGCTAGAAAAGGAAATCAACCTCGCGACGTCCCAGATGCCATTGTTGTGGCCAACAAGACGGCCGTCTGCGAAAACGGTGAGGTCTTTCATACCGGCTAAAACCCCAACAAAATCTGCATAAAATGATAATAATGACAAAATGAAAAAAGTAACAAACCAAAAACATCTTAAAGGTAAAATATTGAAGGATGCATTTTTCTGATGATTTCCAGCCCAAATCTGAGTGCAAGATCCACAAGATGTTCAAGTTCCGGTGTACATGCATTTCTCAAGCAGTTAAGTCCAAAGCTGTATCTCAGACTGACTTCTAAAAAACTGTCAAAACTCACTCACAACTCAAATCTGACTAGGTGACATGAATTGGTAAGCTACTGAACAGAAATCGAATTGTACAGTGAGAATTACTTCGCCGAGAATCATGGACGAGGAAGCGGTTCTGTATTGAGATGTTAATGTAAGTTTCCCTTATTAATGTAATTTTAACAATATTGGGAACATGGCGTAGTTTTGTCATTCTGTATATTGAAACAGTCACATAATATGTGTTTATCTCATCACCGCTTCGTTAGGTATAACGTCGTTTACCTTTTGTATTTGTTTGGGTTGTGCGTGTACACAGCCACAGGATAAAGGTGAAAACTCGCATCATTCTGGTTTCTGTTCCCGGGTGTGTTGATGTCACTGCCTGAAACTAAGTTGGATCGTATGTGTCTGTCTGTCAGTACATCACTCGTAAATAGCTCATCTAAGATACAAAATACATACAAAATGGCATGCATTGATCAAATATTTCAAACAGGAAGAGAGAAATATCGAATTATCACTGCGTAAGACTAAACTTGTTAAGGAATTTTGAAATATCTCACAAATAATACCATTGAATCGCTTGATATCAGAAGGTTCGTGAAACCTTGATTATGTGTTTCTGTCCGTCAGTATCTCAACCTTTAAATAGCTCTTCTGAAATACTAATGTTCATCAGTACATACAAAATACATGTATTGATCAAATATTTCATTTACAAACAGAAAGAAACAAACATCATTTTACTTCCGCGTGAAACTAAACCCGTTAATGAATTTTGAAATATCTCACAAGTAATAATACTGAATAGCTTGATATCAGAAGACTCGTGAAACTGGGATTATGTGTTTCTGTTCGTCAGCTTATCAACTTGTAAAAAAGTTGTCCTGGAATGCAAATGTAACATAAAGGAGCTCAGTCAGTCACGGCATTTTGAGTTACGACTTACCTTTAAATTTAAGGAATCCTGAAAATCCATAGTTTACTAAGATATAAAAATACCAAAGAGATAATAATAGACCATTAAGGAACAAGGATGGTTAAGGATGGATAATAATACCGATTACAAACCATGACCTTGAACTCACTGTGCGTACTGGTCGAATCTCTCTATAAGTCACAGATGATTCCGGTAGTTGTCTTCAATAGGGGTAACTAGTGATCGCCTGGAAATCAGGCTTCCCCTTAAGGTGATGGGATAAGCGAAATGAAGGTTATATGAGCAACATAAATGATGGCTTATTACTTATAATATTGACAGCTAGGGCACGCCTTATTAGGGAAATTATAGTGTTGTCTTCACAACTGGTCTATCAAATATGTTTACAAAACAACATACATGTACTGATCAAATATTTCAAACAGGAAGAGAGGAATATCGAATTATTACCACGGAAAACAAAACTGAATATACCACTGAATTGCTGATATAGAAGATTCGTGAAATGACAATAACATTCTAAAAAATGGTACCTTTTCTATTTTATTCTTAAACTTATTCGCCTTCTTTCTTAAAATGATGCTGCAAGAAAATTAGCTTAACACATTTATCACCCTCTCCATTAATTCGAGTTCATGTTTTTTGACTAAGTGATGACTATGTAATTATTGACTCAAGCTAAGGTCACGATAACAAGAATTTTCGAGTTAACGCCATGGAACTCTAACCTACAACTCGGCAATACGTTCCTTACCAAGAAATGACCATTCTTAAGCATTCTAGTTGGAAAGGTGAAAAGCCGACGAATGCATTCGTTTGCATGTATGAAGGAAGGCCGCACCAGCTGAAAGGTTAATAATTACAATGATGCTCGAGCACTGCTACATCCAATATAACGTTTCTTCCTTTTCATTGATAAACATGGTTACCAAATCCGTTTTTATTACCTGTCGGTTTTTTTCGCGCCGATATTAACCAACACTATTTTTTGCACAATTCAGCATTTTTGGCACGCGATCTGAAGCAATTCCGCCTTCTCTCACGTTATTCATTCATTATGGCTGCTATTTATAATCAGTAAGGATGACTTGAGGACGTAACTGAGGGTTTTATGGCGCACTTAGTTTAAGAGAAATAATGAAAAAGCATCTACAGTTTACTGAAATGAGCTAAAAGTCACAGCATCTAAAGGATTAGTTGAAAAAATGTTCAAAAAAGAAAAATATATAACGGGTTGTTTAGACAATTTGTAGCTCCAAGACTACTGAACATATTCTCAAAGATATTTCTTACCGGCGTTAAATGATTAATAAGCGTAGAATTAAGTATTTTGAGGATAATTGATAAAACTTGATATGGCACATCCATGAAATAAGTAACGTGTTTACTGTTGAAAGCAAACGCTACCTGTCACAAACTCTTTGTATTTTGACCATCTGCCACAATCGATTCGTACGTGTTGGTTATAATCAGCCGCGCTAAGTAATCTACAAATTCAATTTCCTGTGAGCCAGTTTAATTTGAAAGGAAATATAACAGCATTTTTGATATACAAAAACTGGGAACAAATGAGAAAAAAGTTGAACTTTTTTGCCACTCTGAGAACTTGATCGTTAATTGCAATCACATTTCGGCGAGTTTATCAATGGATAGACACTGGGGTAATTGAAATCAAGATACTTCCTTGGGGTTTTCTGGAGCTTTTTTATAAAAGATATAATTTCACTGATATGATACCACCAGCGCTACATACGTTAATATTAGATATGAAGAACTTCCGCTTCGATCTGCTGGACAGCAGACACATGACAATAGGGATCATCACCAAGTGGTTGGAGTTAAAATGACATAAATAAATATATTTTCTTTCCAAAAGAAGGCTAACTTTTAGACTGACGCTGGGTTTAGGGAAAAAAAGATAAGTTTCACCAAACCATAAATTTTACCTTGGAAATAGTCCGCAGCAGGGTGCTCAGAAAAAGTTAAACAAACTTTCTTAACCTGCTGTCTTCCTTATAGCTGAAACAGGCATGCATGCGACCTTTTACCGAGCAAAGCGTATTAGTTATTAAACTCTATTCCAGAAATACATATTTTGAAAGCCGGCGGCCAAGAAAAACATTTTAGTGTTGACTTAAGAAAACGCTTTAGGTTTTCATCGGGTAAAGCCGAGCAAATGAGTGAAGTCAATATTGAGCGAAATGATTTTCTTCAAAGAACATTGTTTAACCACGTGACAGAATCAACCGTTCCTATATGGGGACTGCACATAAAATCGCCTTGAAATTAAAAAGCGGATCTCTTGACTGCTTTTGGAGTTTTTCAGAGTCAGTTTTGCAAAACAACGAGAATATAATTAACACAGTAAAATTGTTTAATACGTTCTTTTGCATGCCGATGTCAATGATTTCATTCCATCTCAGGTATGCATCATGTGAGCAGATACAAGGGCTTTCCCTGCACCTTAATTACGAAGATTAATACAAATATAGAAATGTTTAGGCTGAAAATATTATTGTGAATATTCTAAGATTAAAGCGTGTATTTCTCTTTTCGAACTTATTTGGTGTCTGGATGGTATTGCTTTAATTCTGGAGCCAGCCTGCAGACATTAAAGCCTGATATGACACATATAACTTCTTGCAGAAATGTTATTAGCATCGAACATGCGCAAGTGCTTTTTTTTGTTTGTTTGTTTGTTGTTGTTTTTTTTTTTTGGCATTTTGGCTAGTTTTGCCGTTTAGAGAAAGGAAGAATTTGTATGGCTTAGTTAAAAACATATAATTGTATTGTGGTTACAAATTCTCCACACACAATTATTTCCTTTTCAGATCAAAATCTCAGCCTCGGGTTTATCCTTAAAGTGTTCTTAAAATTTCGCAAACTACAGCCTCGATANCTTTTGGAGTTTTTCAGAGTCAGTTTTGCAAAATAACGAGAATATAATTAACGCAGTAAAATTGTTTAATACGTTCTTTTGCATGCCGATGTCAAAACACCCATTTTCATTCCATCTAAGGTATGCATCATGTGAGCAGCTACAAGGGCTTTCCCTGCACCTTAATTATGAAGATTAATACAAATATAGAAATGTTTAGGCTGAAAATATTATTGTGAATATTCTAAGATTAAAGCGTGTATTTCTGTTTTCGAACTTATTTGGTGTCTGGATGGTATTGCTTCAATTCTGGAGCCAGCCTGCAGACATTAAAGCCTGATATGACACATATAACTTCTTGCACAAATGTTATTAGCATCGAACATGCGCAAGTGCTTTTTTTTTGTTTTTGTTTTTTGTTTTTTGTTGTTTCTTTTTTTTTGCATTTTGGCTAGTTTTGCCGTTTAGAGAAAGGAAGAATTTATATGGCTTAGTTAAAAACATATAACTGTATTGTGGTTACAAATTCTCTACACACAATTATTTTCTTTTCAGATCAAAATCTCAGCCTCGGGTTTATCCTTAAGTATTCTTAAAATTTCGCAAATTACAGCCTCGATATTCTTATAAAATGCATTTTCATAAAAAAAAAGAGAGACTGTACCGAGTCTACGATTGTCTGTTTAGTAAAAGGGATAAATTATCACTCAATTAGACAATCGGAACAGACAATCATGAGAAGATTTTTAAGATCGCTGTTTCTAGCTGGGAAGCGCTGCATCAATATTATTATCATATCAGAAATCTTGACAAATGCTCGGGCCTGGTGATAACTTTTTCATTAAGTTTTATCTATCTCCAAATCACATGTTATTTCACGCCGAGAGCAAATGAAAAATTACCCGAAAATTAAAATCAGAATTACTATGGCAATAAGTTGTATAAAGTTAAAAATGGGCTTTTACGAAGAGAAAATATGTAACCAATAAGACTTAAGCTATGGTAAGTTTTTAATGTCCTATCAGATCAGCTGTTAATTGCAAATTGTAACCGGGAATACATTTGTACGATGACCTTCGATTTTGTGTAACCCAACGCTCCCTTGAAACGCTGAAAACTATGTTCCCAAAGCCCGAGGTGCACCGGGTATACAAGAAGGAAACTTAATGGTGAGTTCAGTTGTAGAAAAGTTCTAGAAAGTAGATTCTGGGGTCAAATTGTCTGATTACTGTGAACTCTTCAAGATAAGATTGCAAAGGAGATAAATTTCAATGAGATTTCTCTTATGCTTTGCTTGAAATATTGATTTCTTTTAAAACAATTGCTTCACTTAAATGCAACGCTGCATGCTAAGACTCTCACAACAAGATTGCTGGTAATCCACTGACAAAAATCACTTAAACCTCAGTTCTGTTGCTTGGTGCATCCATGAGTCATATCAAAGTTATAATTTGGTTGAATTTCAGTGGCTTGTGCTTTACAGGCACAAGTGATTCCCTCTTGCTTAATCACAAGAACATCTTGCTGCGAACATTTCGCAAAATGTTATTTATACAACCACTTGCATGCTAGTCGTTATTGATCATTCTGATACCTGTTCATATCAAGCAGATGTTTTTGTCTTTGCTTGTTTTTTAAACAAGCAAAGAAGAAGGCTGAACTGACCTGAGAATTAGATTTATTTCCTCCCTGGTGTTGCTCTATTTTCAATTTTAATGTCAAACTTCAGTCTCACTTATTTATCCATTCGCGACTATTGCCACGAGGTTTGTAATTTGTTTTTTTGTTTTTTTTTTCTTCGTTAGAATCTCCCAAACCGGGAACATACTAAGAATTGTTTATGGGTAGATCGATAAGGGCGTTGCTTGACAAGTAAAAGAGGCCAAGGCACACACTGAGTTTTATCCGGTGATGAATTATTTCTTCTCCCTTGGATTCTGAGACCGTGCATTCTGCTGCTTAGGAAAGCTCGGCCAGAAACGTTTACACACATGTTTCTGTTATAATGACGTTTTTCTCAAAATCAACGCCATTTTGACCCTACTTTACAATTTCACATTTTTCAGGCAAAATAGAATTAAATCTTTGAGAGAGGTTTCAGGAAAAAATTCACATTTAGTTTCCATGGCCAAGATTACGAAAAAATCAGTTATTTATTTGATCTATTCATTAAAGATTTGTTGACATTTTAACTGGTTACAATATATAACCTCACAGTTTTCGCGAACGGACTTCTCGTTAGCCTCAATGGCGACTTTTGGCGCTTGGCAGGTGGTTCAGTTCATTCCTTAGCGAAACAAAAATCACCGGTTTAGAACTTAGCAGGAGGGTGGGGGCATTTCTTGGCGTGTTAAGCATTGGAATAGTCACAGTTAGTTCTTGGAAATGCAGCCAGATCAGTGGAAATGGATGGCAGCAAACCAGTAATACCGACAATGCGTGGCCTTTCGCTTACATTCGATACAATAACAGAGCAACACAGAAAATCTTTTGCCAACCAGGTTTATCGATAGACGTCGCTTTGTTAGGAATCATCACCGGTGCAGTGCTATACCAACTGAGCAATCTCGCAGAGGTCACGGGTTCGAATCCCGTTTAGGCCTGAATTGTTTTCAGGCTTTAATTTCACAATTACTTGAGTTCTGTGCATATAACTGCGATGATCAATCATGTCTTCATATCTTTCTCCGCAGTTCAAATACATGAACTTTCATATATTCACTTGAATTCTTCACCATCTACGGATACGGGTGGGTGACCAGCTCCCAGATGGCTTGATAGCTCAGTTGGTAGAGCACTGCACCGGTATCGCAGAGGTCATGGGTTCGAATCTCGTTCAGGCCTGAATTTTTTTAGGCTTTAACTTCACAATTACTTAAGTTCTGTGCATAACTTCGATGATCAATCATGTCTTCATATCTTTCTCCGCAGTTCAAATATATATTCACTTGTAATATTAGGTAGCATTCGGTTAAGTAATTCCAACATCGACCAAGATTAGCAAAAAGAAATAGATGTGAAACGACTACAAAATTATCTACTGAGCCATTTACTGGTCGAGGTCTAATCATGTTCTTGAGAAAAAATATGTCATTTCTGAATTACCTTGTGCCTCTGTTTTAAAACGAGTCCTGGTGCAAAACTTTTCATATCAAAATAAATTTAGTTTGATTTGCATGAAAATGAATGTGTGGGTGGAACACACTTTCATATGGATGCTTTCGCACAAAGACTCGTTTTGAAACAGAGGAAA